TCTGCTGCTGAGTAACAGGCTGGGCACAGCTCGTCTGGGCTCGGTCTCTCAGATGTTATTTCAGAAGATTTGCATTGCCCCCAGAGCAGATATGCAGGAAATCAATCCTATGGTTCTTCTCTCCAGTTTTGTATGGTATTCATGGATTTTTCCCCTCATTCTCAGTAATATCTGACAGTTAAAGGCTTTCCACCCAATCCTAGAATTTCCTTTAATAGAGGTTGTGAAGGACAGAAGAGGAGTTTTCCTTGTAAATGTGATTTTAAAAAAACCTGGTTTAACTCTGAAACATGGTGATGTTAAAAAGGTGGAAAGATGTCCTTGCCTAACATTCTAGCTCCAGATGTAAGGCAAGAGAAAATTTAAAAAATAATCCATGAATTTGTGCATGTGGTTTGATGTTTGGCTTCCTTGTTTTAAAAGTTAGAAAAAGCAATGTGCATAGCCAGTGAATCACATTTTGTTTCTTTTTTATTGAATTTGGATAAATTTATGCATGCAATGTAATTTCAAAACAAATTTGAAAGACTTAATATAAAAAATGTACTAAGGAAGTGTCTTCACTTTTAAAAAGTAGCTCTTGGTATTTTCAAATACAGATTGCATTCACCAGCAAAATTCAGTATTATCACAATTAAATATAAAGGCCAAAACCCTTTTCAGTGTTTGATGTGAGGAAAATGAAAAAAAAAAATGTTCTAGTTAGTTTTGTCCCTGAAGGCTCCTGTATATTTACCCTTCACCTTGAGCTCCATTTTGTCATTTTGTCTGGAGATGTGTTTTTAGTCAGCTCCCAGTGAAAACTGTATTTGACCCTTATCAAGGATGAGAGCTTATTTTGTCTGTCAGTTATTAAGATTGGTTGTGCAGTTTGTTTGAAACTGCAGATTTGGCCAACCCTGTCAGATTTAAGTAGTCCAATGAGTAAGTTCAGGCTCAGAAGCATAGCTGTTACTGGGGAGAGGGGATTTGATCCAAAGAGGAGGTAGATATGCAATGCCTGTACTTGCTTAAGTTTTCCTTTCCAGATCAGGCTCACAGTTAGAGTAGTGGCAGGCTTAGCTGATTGATGTGTTGACATGCCTGAATTTACTTGGTGCAGCAGCTGAGGGGACTTGGTGCCCTGCTCTGCAAGCCAGTCCCTTACATTGTCTGTGCCTCCCTCTGGTACATTGCCTCGTACATCTGACAAATTTACTCTAATCATTCAGCAATTCGTATCTCAACTGGACTAGGGAATTGTATCTAAATTTTCTTTAAAGGGAAACAATGGAATTGAGACTGTGCATGAAGAAAATTTATATGCATCAGTATTGTGAGAACAGAAAGTACAAGATCTTAACAGGAGGCAGATGATGTTTTTGTTAATACATATGTGCACATAGATATTTATATGTATATATAAAGGATATAAAAAGGGAAAGCTAGTTTGTGTTTTTTAAAGCCACTGTTGTAGTGATTAAGGACTTTGGAAAGTATATGGTATGTCATTCATGGGAGAGACTTTGGTGCTGGGGAATTGCAAACTTGAGAAGGAGTTGTGGGGTTCAAATGAAGGAAAGAATCCAATAGAGTAGAGATGCCTCCTGAGAGATAGCTGGAGCATCTGGAGATGGAAGGCAGAGCACAGCAAACCAGAGGGTCAGGAATCAAGATGAATTGCTTTCTGCGCTGCACCTGACCCAGATTGGGGCTGTCTAGGTTAGATTTTGCAAGGCTGAACTAGATCTGTCATGCAAGCTGTTATTTTCACAATGTTTCTACTTTCTCTATTCTTAGTAAATGCAGTTTTCCACAGCCCATGAGGCTTCATTGCGTGGTTTGGGTATCAGTTCCTTCAGAAGCTTCCCTGGCAGCAGCAAGCAGAGTAGCTGAGGCTGCAGGAGGCCCAGGGCTGTGGCTGCAGAGGATGGGGGGCTCAGCTCCGCCCTCTGCTTGTGGCTGGGTGTGCAGAGCCCCTCCAAGCACCACCAGGGGAGCTGCCTTTCTAATCTGCCTCCTCTTGCTTGCCCTTCAAAAGAGCTGTGCTTCAGTGCTGGGGAAGGAAATAATTGTTATCACTAGATATTGATACCGATTATTTAAAGATGGAAGATGTGGGATAGTGACAGATTGTTTCAGAACATGAAATAGCAAATAATAAATAAAAAAATCTTTTTAGATGGCTTGCAAGTGGATTTGGAGAACAGAGAACTGACTTACTTGGCTTCAGCCTAAAAGCTAGGGAAAAGACCTTATATTTTTCTAAGCAGTTTTTGTTGGGTGGCTCTTGGCTATTTTGTACTAGTCTAAAGGATCTCTCTGATTTATCTTCAAAGAGTGTTTCTCTTGGTTCATTATTTTGACCTAAATTGTGGCTTTCATAAGTGACTGGGTTTTTTAAATTTTTTTTTTAATTTCTTCTCCGAAACCATTTGCTCAAAACTGCATTTTTCCTCTACAGCTGGTTTTTGTTGAATATTCTCTCTCCCAAGAGGCTGTTGGCTATTTATCAATATTTGATCTCTCTGTAAAGCATTCTTCTGTGGGGTGAATGTTTATTATGAAATGGTGTCTCTAAAGTGAATCTTATCTGCTCTTGATCTCTTTCTCTGTCTGCCTCAGTCTGTCTCTTTCTTAGCTTGCCTTGTGGCTTGAAGAAGTACTAAGTCTCTCTATTTTAACAGAAGTAAATGCAGTCATTACAACAGCAAATACTGAACAGGAAAAGAGATGCATCACAATCCAGCACAATACAATTTCCAGCAGGTGCTTAGCAAAGAGCTTCAATCTGTGCTAAGTGTTTATAAGTATAAAAGATTTCCCTGCATTTCCTTAAAGTGTAAATATCACAAAACTGTTTTTCAGGGAGTTTTCAGCAAAATGAAAATAGTAAAATAAATAGCAGATAATGCCACGTATATTGACTACCTCTTTGGCAGTTGTTTGGTCATATCAGCCAGGCTAAACATTATTGAACCCAATGCACTCTTAATCCAACTCGTTTTATTTCAGTGATGAATCTGAAAAGACTAGTGATGAACCTAGACAAAGAACATTGCAACACTTCCTTTATTATACTCTTTATTCAGCCAATGGGATCTAAAATACTGATGCTGTTAGAGACCAAATAGTTTTCATTAGGAAATTATAAAAGCAGCAAAAAATAAGTCAGAAAAAATATTTTGAGAGTTTCTCTTTGAGTTTGAATGGAGGTACATATTAGGTGGAAAGGAAATTATTTTTAATGCAGGCTACACATCCCACTAATGACAAGAGTGTTTCTCCCAAGAGTAAACTGAGGCCTCTGAGTTGGTTTATGGGTATCTCAATAGAAATGGTTGCATTACTCTCTCCTCTGCCTGCAGGCAGTGACTGAGAGCTTTTTCTGAGGCGCTCTTCTTGCCATAGATGATTTTGCAATATATACATAGAGAAAAATCAATGCCCTTTTAAAAATAGTTTCTTTAATGCATTTTACATATTGTACTTTCAATAATACTAAGTATTTCTGGCAGCCTCTTAAGATATCCATTATTCATTATTCAGTAGCTGAAATTCCAGTCTACCCAGAAAGTACAGCATCCAAAGGTCTTGAAGTTCAGGATGTGCTATTATTTTTTAACCTTGTTTTTCTCAATATCCAACTATAGATCAGTGTTCATTTCAGAGCTGGGTGTTCAGCAACTGAGTCATGATTTTTCTTTAGAAATAGAGATCAAAATTCAAGACTTTTTAGTTTGCTTTTTGGCTTGTAAGCATTTTGAATTCACTGAGAGTTTTATTTTGTTTTGCTTCACTGAAATTAATAAATCTAAAAATGTATTTTATTTTTTCTAGTAATATAGTGACTGCATTCAGAATTCTACAGGTTCAAAAAACTTCCTTCGTATAGGTAACTCATGAAAAAGCACTGAGTTTTCTCATTAAGTAGTTCTTGTCTTATGCTGTAATGAGACAGATTTTTGTTATTTAATTAATAGAAAAAGACCCCAAACCTTCCCTATTTGGGAAATTGCTCCTCAATGTGCAATTATGCATTATTGTAGATACTAAAATTGTGTTGCTAGGGTTTTCCAGACCAGTGTGTCTGGAAAATGTGTCTCAAAGAGGAGCAATATTAGTCTGCTGCTACCCATGCCTGAGAATGGAGGGAACTCAGAACTCCTGTTCTTCCTGCTTGCTCTGAGGGCGCCTCAGTGCCAGTATGTTTTCTTACAAAAATTGTTGACATTTACTCCATTTCAGTATGTAATCATCAATTAGCATACTTTTGATAATATTGTGGGGTTTTAGATGTAAACATGAAAGCTGGGAGTGTTGAAAATACCCTGATTGCATTTCCATGAGTAAAATGGCTTAACTGGTGTGTCAGCCGTGCTAGGCTTTGGCAGTGTCCAAGCATTCACACCAAAATGAGATGATGTTCTTTGGTAATTGGAAGATGCCGTTTGTTGCTTTCTTTTAACTGAAAGGCATTTGTTGCTATTAATAGTTGTGAAGTAAATCCTTGTCTTTATGCTATGGGTTCTGTCTAAAGTGTGGTTTTGATAACTAGGAATAAATGTCAGCCAATCAGGACTTCAAGATTTTGAGAAAATAATCAAGAATGGCAAAAAAATGATGGCATACAAATACTCACGGATCAGACCTACAGCACTGCCATTTGTCCTCCTCCCCTCATCCCTTAAGCTGTTTGTTACTGCCTCATTTGTATTATCTGCTTTTGCACCCTTTTCTCTCTAATCCCTTCCCCTGCATTTGTTTTGTTATGAGTTATACAAGTACACACATTGTCAAGGAACCTGATTTTCAAGTGCCTGTACTATTAAACAATCACCAGTTATGTAAGCTGCAGACTGCAAATGTGATCATGTGCAATATTATTTTGGAAATATCTAAGGGTTTGTGAAAGTGCTCGTATGAATGATGTTTTTGAGAACATGCGTGTAATTCAAAATAAATGTTGGTCACTAAAATTTCCTGTGTAATTCTTATGTGCCATAAAATGTCTGTTTCAGGTTTGCCAGAACCAAAGAGAGACAGTATATTCCAAGGCCTGAAAATGAATCAAGGATTCTACACATCTAAAGACTTCTTACCTATGGTAGCAATGGCAAGTAAACCAGGTGTGTGGTACTGTGTTCTTGCTGTAATCACATTTAATAAGTCATTAGCAGGTGTTGTTATATCAAACTGTTTGGCTACAAAGCAGCACATCCTGTTACAAAGTACCTTCCACTGAATATGTCTGGGACAGGATTTTCTCTTGGTGATTGGCAACCTCAGGAGCATGGTCAGGAAAGTTAGATCCAGAGATTATAAACTGAATAATTATGTGTACTAAATTTATGGCAAATTATTTCCCCTAATAAGATTTATTTATTATTTTGAATTATATTCTAAAGCTGACACAAGCTTCTCCTTTGTATGAAGTATCATGATAAAAATAATATATATAAGATGGTTGGAAAAAAATCTGATATTAAAAAAGGTGTTTCTGACTTATATAAGCCACTGATTTGTATATTGTTGATAAATTCTTTTCCTTGATCCAAGTCATGTGCTGCAGGTTTTATAGACATTTAAATCAGCACTAGTTCTTTACCCAATGAACTTGCAGTCTAACAGTCAGGACAACAGGATTATGACAGGAGTTAATAAGAAAGTGCTCAGTTCATAGGCACCAAATGCAGTCTTGTTTTATGGTTTCACATCTTTGAGCTCCGAGATAGCTGTATTTGCTCCATATGGAGTACTGATGCTTTCAGTGTCCCTGAATGTGAACTTATAAGCCCCAAATATGTGATTTCTATGCCACATTTCTTCATATGTCTGGATTCCCCAGACAAAATACAAATTAATGTACAGGTTGTTTTTTTTATTTGGGACAGAATGTGGTATTTTACATATGACTTAATATTACTTGTTTTATCTACAAACTGATTTTTTAGCATCATATAGGATTGCCTACTTATGTAGTAGACTTTTCTTATACAATTTTGAGAAACATATATTCTATGGCAGATTATTCTGCTTATAAATGTAACATTTATTACTCCATTTGATGCAAAATATTTCAGAAGTGAAATTCTGCATCCCATCTGTCCCATCTCCTAGCTGTTTTTATCAAATGCTTATTTCTGTCTTTTTTCTTAAGCTCAGAGTAATCTTAAATGATTTGGGAGAAAAGGGTGAGCTTTTGGGTTTTCTTTTTGAAGACAGAGATGTTTAAAAGTAAAACAGGTTGAGCGTATGCAATGCAACACATTTGTAGATTAACAAAGGAAAAGTAAATTCTGCAAACAAAACTCTCTTGAAACAATTTGACTAAAAATACTTTGTAGAATTCTGAGAAGATATGTAGCAGTTGTGTACTGTAAGTCACCTGCCTTCATGTGGATCTATATACTGTGATCCACATATTTCAAAATATTGCAAAGTAGACCTCTTGATAAGCTCGCAAATTTGATAATATGATTTTTTATAGTAAGTCTACAATGGGAAAAAGGATGAACTTGGAAGAACTAACCTTTTCTGATTGACAGTAATAGATAGGTCTTTGGTGTTGTCTGTTAATTAACATGGTTTCTTTTACTTAATTCTCCTAGTGTCTGTCTGTAGCTATAGCCACCTTTTGCTCTTTAAGGCATGGAATTATAAAATAAAATTTACACGTACTACATTCTACTCTATCCTCCTTTTTTCACTGTGACAGTTATCTAAATAATAGACATAATAGACTTATTCATGGTAAAATACATATTCTGCCTGCTTATTAATTCTGAATGCCACTTGTTAATACGCTTTCCTCCAAAAGGGTTTCCTCTTGCAAATACATAGCTGTGAATTTAGCTCAGGAGTGTGTTCCCAGGAGCAAAGCAGGCTGCTCTATCTGATCCCATCTACACTCACACTCTAATGGCACTCTGAGCTGCCAGCTCCCTGCTTCACTTGTGCTTTTTACACTGCTCAATTTGTATGGAGTATTAAGTTCACTAAAAATAAATGAGAAAAGTTTTTAGAGAGAATTTCAGACTAAGAATCCTGTTAAATAAATAGTCAATGTGACGCCACATTCATGGGTGAGTGGGGGAATTTCTCACTCTGCTTGTATGTCTAAATGAAAGGGATTGTTTACTTCAGTAATACTTGTGTTCCACAATTACATGTGAAAATCTGCTACAGTAGGATACTTGAGTTAAAGTACAGTAGGTAAATGGCCAGCTTAGTGCCTCCTGACTGGAGCTTTCCTGGACTCGGTGAGAATATAGCTTTGTCTTATTTATGTCAATATTTTTCAAGTTATAATCATTTGCCTAATCAACAGTTAGTTGTACTTAAATATGTGATAAAGTGAAGTCTCATCCAGGGAACAGACACAGTTCAGCTTTACTTAACTATTTCTTGTTTAATTGGATCATTAAATACAAGCTGTAGATGATAAACACATAATGTTGACATTTTCTCCATGTAACTTTTTACAAATGATTTATAGAAAACAACTGTAGATTAAGCATTTTCTTCCAGTAGAAAAACTAGAAATTGCTGTTACAGTATTCTTTTCCTTCATGTTCAGCTGATGAATAACCTCAGAGAATCATGTCACCACCAGAACAGTGTCAGTGATTTATAGAAATCTGAGGGGACTGATGTTGGTATACTATTACACAAAACTATAACTAACAACAACTGGTCATCTTTTTTTGGTTGTTGTTTTGGATTGGTTTTGTGGTTTGTTGTGTTTTTTTTTTTTTTTTTTTTTTTTTCAGCTGGGAGGATAATGAGTGTGATGAGAGAGAAACTTTTTGAATAAAAAGATCTCACAATTCTAGTTTCAATCTGACACGACCCACAATCCTACAAACATGCTGTCATTTGAATTCTTTTTCAATAGAAAGATGCAGCTGCTTAGAGTACTGACTATGAAATTATGTATATGAGCATATCTTAAAAGGGGGAATAAAACTGTCTTTCAGTAGAGCAGAATAATTTGATAGTGACACTCCATGCTTGGAAACTGTAAGATGCAATTTTACACTGCTTTGAGTACAAGTACCTTTTGAGCTGTCATGCAGAAATGGCTTCTCTACTTGAAAATGGGGTTTTCCTTTTATCTTTCAGGGATGTGTGCCTGTCACTCTCCCTTGCCACCAATCCATGGAACTGTGATTGTGCTGGGGGCAGGAGACACTGCTTTTGACTGTGCAACATCTGCTCTGCGCTGCGGAGCTCGCCGCGTCTTCGTGGTCTTCAGGAAGGGATTCACTCATATCAGGGCTGTCCCAGAAGAGGTAAAACTGATTAGCAGCTTTTCTGAGAAGGCATCTTAGGTACGTCTATGTGGCCTGAAAGCATGCTATAGGTACTTAGCAGACATCTGCTAAAGGTTTTGTTTATAAAAATGCTCTTTAAATGTACTAATGTCTATTAAAGATCTGAGGCTCACTTTGTATACTCTGTGTTTAAATAATTTTCAACTGTTGTATCTGTTTCCTGACAAGGCAGAGAGATGTATTTGCACACGGGGGTTAGAATTTCTTGTAAGTTAGGAAATGAACTAAAATTTTCAATGTTGGAATCAAACAGCCATTAGAGTATTGTAAGTAGCTCTTCAGATCATGGATAGATCCTATAATGATACCTTCTGGCTGTTGTTTAAGGAATCTCAGTGATTCTGACATTACCTTACGAGCCTACAGAAGGCTTTCTTTCTTTCTTACCTTTCCTTTCTTTCTGGTGAGAAAATTACTTACAGTGATTTTGACTTTGAATCACTGCCAATGACAGTGAAGCAATGCTATTCATCACGTATTTCAGCATTCTAATCCATTTGGTTTTAGTTTGGCTTTGTACTTCGGCATTTATTAGATCATCTGCACATTTTCTGCTTCCTCAAATTATATGTACTACAGGAGTTTTTTCAGATTTTTTTTCTTATTTTGGTGCTCTTTTTCTATTTTTTATTTATTTGGTGCATTACACTTTTATATACTTGAGAATAGCACACCATCTAATGCATCTTTATAATGAGATTTATGGTAGTTTGGTCATCTGTTTCAAGAATGTGGGCGTCTTAGATCTTCCAGAAGGGAAATGGAGCTGCAAAGAAAGTAATAGAGGGTTTCTTGGTGCATGATTTACTTCTGTTGCACTTCAGTCAAGAGTTCTAGATGCAATGAGATTACCAAGGCCATTGCACAGACTCATGTGCTATTCAGATTCTTACTGTAATCTGAACCAAAATCTTTCATAGAGGCCTGGGTAAATTTCTAAAAGTTGTCAATGTTTCTACTCATCCAATCTTGCAATGGGTCTTGAAAACAGTAAAATAAAAGTAGCTTCATTTGGTAATGGCCATGATAGAATCATGTCAGGTGGGATATTACATGTTCAAAAAAGTTGTGTACATAGAAACAGTCAAATTCTGAAGATTATTGACTTTAACAGTTTTACTACAGCAGAGATTCAGAAGATCCTTAAGTCTCGATTGTCACTCAGAAAACTGTTGCTTTTACACGGTAGTCAGCCTTTAATAAAATCTTAAAATCATAGTAAACAAAAATCAGGGAATGGACTAAGTTAATACTAGGGCACTTTTTAAAAGACACAGATATTTATGTAAGAGAAATCTTTTGCCCTAAAAAAAGTTAAACATATTCAAAGTAACAGAAAAATAAAAAAATATATTGAAGAAATAAGAAAATATGTTTGAGAAATATTTGCCTTGAAAGTTTGCTTACTGGCACTGCTTGATTTGATAGCATGAGAGGCTCTGAAGCTGACAGTAAGATGACTCTCTGCATACTGGACAAGGCTGATTTCTGCTATAGTAGAATCCATGGTAACATCTTGAGTCACAAAATGTTTCCTGGTTGGTTTGTTTGGGGTTTTTTTTCCTGAAAATGCATCATGGTAAAGTTATATCTTTTATTGCTTCAACTCTACAGATGGAACTGGCAAAAGAAGAGAAGTGTGAATTTCTGCCTTTCCTCTCTCCTCGTAAAGTTGTTGTTAAAGGTGGACAAATTGTTGCTATGGAATTTGTTCGAACGGAGCAGGACAGCGATGGAAGCTGGAGAGAGGATGAGGATCAGGTTGTGCGTCTGAAAGCCAACGTGGTGATCAGTGCCTTTGGCTCCGTTCTGGGTGATGATAAAGGTAACCCTGACCAATGCAAATACAGATTGCTCTTTTAGGTACATGTCCTGTCCTTTAACAGTGTTGTCAGATGTGTCTTTTGGAGATTACTTAGCTTGTGACAGATGGTCCTCTTACAGGAGTTTGTCCTTCAGGAACATCTTTTAGAAAAATATTTGGGGGTCTGGTAACTAAGCAGTTCTCTGCAAATTGCTGTATAGAGCTGGAACTCAGCATTGAAGTACCATTCCTCAGCCTGTATTTTTCTTCTCAGTGCAAGTGGGATCTCAAAGAAACTCTTGGGAATTTCTTCTGGTCTCATTAATTAACTCTAGAGAAACTCATTATGTTACATCTTTAAGCTGAACTGATCTGATCTCTGAAATATCTTTTTTTTAACTTTGCAAATTAAACAAGCATTGAAACATTCATTATTCTGGTTCATCTGGTCTGGGCATTAGTTATTTCTTCTGCATATACAAGAGAACTGAGACTTCTCTCATACACTTTATTTCTTAGTTGCACTTCACAAGGTTTAGTCTTAAAAATTAGTAATTACTTCATTCTGTATTAAAGATACAGAAATTGGCACATTGATGACATTTCAGAGATTGGATCAATTGTCTCCATTTAGCAGAGAGATGAACATGAATATAGTCAACAACATGGGAACTGAGCAGTGTTTAGGTTGTTCTCCTCTGACACTAGGTTAGATTTTAGAAGTTCAGGCACATACATTGAATGTGCCTCAGAATAAAAACACTGACTCAGTAGAAGACACGCTGATAGGATGAGAAGGTTTTTGGCTTGGAGACAGTCATCTAGGCTAGCAAATTCTGAAAGCCTTGGTGAACAATGTGCCTGCCTCTCCAGGGCATGTTTTCATGGTCTTTTGGGTATAAATGCTCTGACAGAGGACTTGGCAAGTGCCACAGATTGCACAAGACCAGAAAATTTGGTATTCAGAATTTCTTAGCATGTTGTACTTTTGTGAATCTTTGCAATCAAGTGAAATGGTAAATCCTAAATGATGTAGGCAGACTTTAAACCTGAATGCACTCAGCGCTCCCTGCTCCACATCCAGTTGTATAGAATGGTGAACCATCCTGCAACCATGAGAAGAGTCTAAACCTTCTCCTACAGTAAAAAGGATCAGCCTGCTATTTCGAGGAACATGTGAAGTGAATACCAGGAGCAGTTCTATCTTATGTGTGCTACTAATACTTTGGGGCAGTTTTTTGCATCCTAGGCTGTTTCTAGTCAGTGACTGCTCCCAGCTCACTGTTCAGGGCTGCCTGCTGGCCTGCTGCTGCCTTCTGCTCTGCAGGGCACAGGAGAGAACAGACTCCCATTCCTCTTGCAGCTGTATTGCTGTGGAAAGATTGTCACTTGTGTGGGTCATATTTCAGAGCTCAGTCTAACGTCTAGGGTGCAGGAAGAAGAGGTTTTAAGGGTTTTTTTTAAGAGATTGATTTACTACTGTGATGATGGTGTTGATTAACTGAGAATTTAGGCAAATTTTGTTGGTTCTGGTGGTAATTTTGCTTTTAAAACTCTGTGTTTAGATTTTTTGGAAGGGTTTCTAGAATCTCATGTGGTAAATCAATATTAACCTATTCAATCAATATATTTTGTTGTGATTCATAGGCCCCATGACACAGGAGTGATTCTGTTTTCTCCCACGTTAAAAATTATCTCAATTAAAAGATTGAACTTACTGTGCTAAGCAGCCAGTAAGTACTGTGCTATAGTACTGTGCCAGTCTTGTATTTCCTAGGGCACATTCACAGTCTAAATTAATTGTTGGGAGGTTTTTAAATAGGAACATAAAATGGGAGGGGAACAGTCATGCAGTGAGCTGATCATGAGAGAATAGAGTAATTTACTTTGGGGGTGAGCAAAACACCTCAGTTTCATGCTGTATTTTGGGTGAAACTGCTGTTAGAAAAGAAGTCAATAAAAAGGAAAAATGCAAGTCATTTGTGTTGGATGTTGTGAAAGTGAAAAGAAACTAAGACTTGAGTGCACAAAGTGCTTATTTTGAGCATACCATTTCAGTTGCTTTTAAGTCTTTTTCTTTAGGCTGTCTTAATGAAAGTCAAATTTGCTTTTCACTATTGAGCTGGATTACAAGCAAAACTCCAGACTACTTCAGACTACAGTGTACATAACAAAAATAAATGAAAAATTAAAAAAAAAAAACAAAACAACACCAAAACATCATCTTAGTGTCTTGTTGAGGTTTTTTGGTTTTGTGGTTGATTGGTTTTTCTAAATGAAGTACACTTCATTTAGAAACACTTCTGTATTCAAGAGATGAAAATATTCAGGTATTCCCCATCAACAGATGGAGGTGAAAATACTTGAAGTACTCAAAACTGGACAATGCCATGAGCAAGCTGATTTGACTTGGAACTTGATCTAACTTTGAAGGGAATGGAATAGGTAACCTCCAGAGGGCCCTTCTGGTCTCAATTATCCTGTGACTGGGTGTCTCAGGTGCAGGTTGAATAAACATGTTAATTGCTGCTCATACAAAGAGCTCTATCAATTGACCTAATTCGTAAGGCACCTCAGGGAACTGCAATTGCAGTATTGGTATGGGCTAAGATAGCAGGTTATATCCTATAAAAAGTCAGTTCTACTGATAAAAGTATAAAGAAAATACTGTCAAAAGCAGAGAGATTAAAATTAGACTTAGCCCCAGTTCAACAAATTGTTCAGGGCAGCCTTGATGCTCGTGTTGGGAAGTTTTGTAAGAAGCCATAAGTGTGTGGGTGACTGAGCAGAAATAGCTCATAGGTTAGAAAGTTTTTTCTGGTCTATTATCTTCAACAAGATGTTTCCTATTCTTGCGTGGTAACTATTAAATTTGCAACTGAGACCCTATGTGTTCACAATAGGTATTTGGTCTTTTTTGTTTTGTTAAAATAAAATGCTGATGGTGTTTTAAAGCAGCAGTTCTAGTGGGTATTCATCCTCCCGTTGGGAATCATATAAATGCATCATTTACTTTAAAAAATTGAATCCTATTTTGACTTTATGCTCCTGGAGTTACTTACAGATCAAACAGGAGAGTTGCCTTCTAGACTCCTTTAAGAAGGTTCCTGTTTTACTAAAACCAGTAAAAAACCATTGTTCAAATCCAACTACTGCAGATGGAGTAAGAAAAATGTTTTACTTCTTCTTGAAGAAAAAATTTTTTGCAAGTACAGGCTGCTTTATTTTAATTGCACAGCTTACCAGAGCCTTCAAGCCGTCATAACTGACCCACAAAAGAAAGAGCTGTGAGAGAAATTTTGGACTTTTTCTTTGGTTATTGCTTTTTTTCTTAATTTGTTGTTTTTGAGGCTTTCAATGTGCTAGTGAATTACTGAAGTATCTTCTGCCACCATTCTAATTGCAACTACTCCACATGTACACTTGCAGTTCTGTGTGCTCCCTCACACTGTGTCCAGCCTCTGCATCCTTCTTAACACCAGTCCCATTGGTTTTGAAGTCTAAACTATGAATAACCCTTTTCTAATCCTTCTGATAAGCAAAGGGAACAATACTTTAGGACTGCAAAATTTTGTAACAAATGCCGTTGTTTGGATTTATTTTCTTGAATGTCCAGTGAGAACAATGGAGAAAGTATGGAAAATAGTGCTGAAAATGTGCTACAAAATTCAATGCAGAGCAAAGGACTAAGCCAGGATAGGGGACTGGCAACCTAACTTTAGTTTGACACTCTGTTTAGTGGGCAGCATTAAGGAGGAAGAATTCACATGTAACCAGAACACTGAATCTTAGCATGATAATATCTGTTTCCTTTTCTTGGAACAGCAAAAAAAAGAAATGAAAAAATATCCAAGCAAAATCCAAGTACCACCTTTGTAAAAAAATCCCTGTAGTAGTAAGTTATTTGTGAACCAAAATATGTTTTATGAAAATTTTGGTAGTAGCTAGCTATTGCATCGTTGACTGAAGGGCAAAACTTTATTTCATAATTCCAGGAACCAGTCACAACTTTCAGATATTTTGATTTTACTTTTAGTACAACTGTCATCTTTCTTGGAAACTGCAGCAGCAAACCCCATCCTTACTGTTTCCCTAGAATAGTTCAACATAAAGTAAAGATAACTTTTCCCAAGTTGTTTATAATTTTATAATTTTACCTACTCATGGTTAATTTTTATGTCTACAGTTTGAGAAGCATTTGCTAGGGAACAAAGGAAAAAACGTTTGCAGAGCTCTGATCTCATAAGTGAAAAAGATTTTTGTTTTCCTTGGATCAAACATAGCACTCCAAATGGCACAGAAACCAGGAGTTCTGGAACTTGGAAGGACTGTTGAGTTTCTTCATAGAGCCTGCTCAGAGAGCTGGGTAACCTTGCCCTCAGAGCACTGAAGCCTTGACTGTCTAATGGAAGAGTAAAGGGGGAAGGGGGGCTGTGATACCCCAGCTGGGAATGCCCTGGCATCTGCCTGCTAGCACAGCATCTGCCTCACACCAACAGGCTTTGAGGCACTAGAGTTGTAAAAAAAATTGTTATATAAAACTGAAATCTATATACGTTCAAAAGATTCCTATTGAAATAGATAGGAGTTTTCCTGCTGAGTCATTTGGATTTTTCTCCACAAATAGCTTTACTGAATGAGTCTGGGTGCAGCAGTGCCGTGCTCTGAAATCATTACCCATTCCCGATATCAAAAAGTGGCTTCATGATGATTTCTAAAGTCGTGTTTACTTAGAGCAGAAATTCTGCTCTCTGAGTTGATACATATCACACAATTCAGCTTGCCAGTGACAGAAAACAAAGGCAGTAGCAGCCTGCAGCAGGACCCGCTCTCACCGTAGCTGGACCCAGCTTTATCCAGTCAAACCTTTTTTAATCCTGTTCAGGACGCTAGTGGGGTAGAGGATGTTGGAAGTGTGATTGTGCCTTTCTTTATTTGCTGGGCATTTAGACTGGGCAGTGTCAGCAGTTAATCTGTTAGTACATGTGACAGCTGTACTTGTACATTTCAGATTAAGAAAGTTACTCTGTATTTTTCAGAAGTAATGCTACTATTCACTTTAAAGGAATTCTGTAAGATGGATGTCAAAAATAACATTAATGAGCTACTAAAGCTAAAATTATAGGAACTTACCAAATTGGTTAAACATAAAACCCATTAAACTGTTTATTGAAGCTTCACAGATATACTGCAGCTAATGAGCATTTCTGCTATTTAAATAAGCCCAAATTGAACACACATTACATAGATGCATAATTAGTCATGGCAGTCACACAGAGACTCACTTTTAAAGCTTTATTTGAGGAATCTTTTCCATTTGATTTGTTTAGTTAATTAAAATATTTTTTCTGTATTCACTTATATTTTAATATTGTTTTTGCAAATGCTGTAATTTGCTGCTGTGTTTCCATTTGTGTTTGTTTGCTCTGTGAATATAGTGAATTTGGAAAATATATTCAGCACTGTTCCTTTGTTTGGTGTTGTGTTAGCATCACTTGATAGCAGTAGAATAATTAAATTGTATGTTGTCTTTCATCCAGAAGGATCTTTTCAAATGATATATAATATCTCACTAGGCTGGGGGAGAGATGGCAGCACAAACACAGGATTGCAGTTTGAATTTTCAAGAGAAAAGATATGTTAGTTTTAAACTTTAAAGACAAACTGAGAGGGTGAAGGTTTTTAAAGATACTTTTTACCTCTTTCCCAAATGATGCACCAAGCATTAAATATCTGATTTGCTTGTTGTTCAGTGTCAAACACCAATTCGGAGAACCAATAGTTCAAGCTCACATTTATCTCTTGGGCTCTGTCTCACCCTTGCAGGGCAGAGAAAGGACTTTCCTCTCTGAAGACAAAAGTTCTCCCCTGCTTTGTGCATGTGCTCTGGGAGGTGCTCCCTTCAGCCTCTCAGCTGCACCAGGTGTCAGATCCAAATTGTGAGGATGTTAGGAACTCTTATATAAAATGCTTTTGAACCATGCCCTTTTTTTATATAACCTAAATCTTGGAGATTTTAAGAAAGAAATAAATAGCAGTTGGATACCATATCAGCCTTGCCACCAGGGAAATGTTCTTTCTTGATTTTAAAAATACTGATCACGCAGACAAATCCCCAGGCCTGGAGAGATGTTTCAGGTGTAGATATGTTGGGCATTCTTCACACTCAAAAAGCTTTTGGTATAATTATGTCCAGACAGCTGTTTTAGAACAAAGCAATTCAAAGAGATTTGAGAAATGTAATAGATACAGGATAACAGAAGTAATACCCTGTTTTTCCATAAAATGAAATAAGTAGTCAGAACTCCCAGTTTTACATAATATCTTTTGAAAAACTACATTTTTGACGGCATATTGTCCTCAGAAACCTTTACTGTGGTTCAGTCCTGTCTCAGACAGAAGTCATCTATTAATCCCCAGTACCAAGTTTTCCTCTGTTTTTTCCAAACATGTCTTTACAAGCCTGTACATATTTAACTTGTGAGAGCCGTCTAGACCACATGCTGAGATGGTACCACTGGATGCAATAAGTTATCCTATATATGACAAATATAAGATGATCAAAAGCTTTCTTGAAGTACACACAGTCTGAGGCACAAAGAGAAAGTTAATGTATTGATTTCTGAAGGATTTTTGATAAAACTGCTATCAGCCAACTCTTTCCTTTAAAAAACCCACACAAACAGAAAAAGCCCAAACCCAAACAAACCAAACCCCTCATTTTCTAGATGAAAAATGTCTCAGTCTGAAGGTTGTGTTCCATGTGATCTTTCAGTAATTTAGATATTTTTACAGGACACGATTTCTTAAGTTTTATGTTTGTTGCTACCCAAATATTATTTTTGTCAACTTAAGCCTCATGTATATGCCAGGTGGGAGAGACTGTGCAGGCAATAGGTCTTGCAGATAGATTAAATACTTCTGGTAGAAAATCTGCTACAGTCTTTCAGTTTAGAACTGTCTTCTCTGACTCAAGCTTCTGAACAAGTTGCAAAAAATCCTTTGAATTTGAGTCTTCTGGATATGTTTGTAAATGCCAAGGTTGAGGAGGAGAGTGTAGGTGGGACAAATAGGTGACAATGTTTGTGTCTTGCTTCTTGTTTCATTATTTTTCCCCTGATTATACACAGCCTCCACTTTGAAATACATTTCTAATATATGATTTGGAAGTGAAAGGAGACACGGAACCTTAGATGAAAATCCTATCACTGTGATGTGTGGGAAACTGTGTTTGAAGCTTGCTCTGTTCTGAGGCGTGTGCTGGGACAATACCATGACTTTGCCCTTTGTGTTGGAGAAGTCTTCATCTTAAACTGGCAGGTTTCTCTTTTGCATTTATGACAGTGCAACTACATCAGTTTAATTGACCTTGGCAATCTGCATCTGCCAGTGGTATGTCCCTGAGGGACATTGCAATTTTAAACTGCAATTTATTGCAGCATATTCTGTTACTGCAGACAAAGCTATATAGCCTCCCCTGTTTTGATAGATACCATCAAAATTTGCTAAAACTATTTATTGAAAAGATTATTCTCTTTATGAAGATACTTTAAAGAGCCTTGTGAATGTAGTAATTTAAAAAATATTAACAGAATATTCTCTGGAGCATTTATGTGTATTTAATGACATTTATATAATGCCAAGCAGCTTAATTTTTTTTTCAAATTTACATTATTTGGAGGAAGATAATATTTCATGTGCAAAATTCCTCTATGTGCGGTTTTCTAACAGCATGAAAAAGACTAGGGTCTCTTAATACACACTTTAAAAAAATTCAGAAGTTGTAGTGAAAAGAAGTTATAGTGAAAAGTGTCTTCTTCTAACCATTTGATTTTGATTGTGGTTTTATGGTTTTATTTATAATACGTGTAACATGTTTTGAAGTGAGTCTTTCTTCCAGGATGTTCTGAGTTTGAATATTAAGTCAGGATGGCTTTGACTTAAATGAGAGAGATCTTTCTCAGCATTAGATTTTCCTATTGTTATCATCAAATATTTGACAGATTTTAGCAACAGTTTCTCTTTCTTTTATTAACATTTTTGTCATTTATTTCATTACAGTCAGAGAGGCCATGGCACCTATCAAGTTGAACAGATGGGGTCTCCCTGAAGTAGACCCAGAAACGATGCAAACAAGTGAGCCCTGGGTGTTTGCAGGGGGCGATGTTGGTGGTCTCGCCAATACTACAGTGGAATCTGTGAATGATGGCAAACAAGCTTCCTGGTACATGCACAGATACATCCAGGTGACTTCTTCAAAAGTATTTTTCTCTTTCCCAGTTTAATCTGCTTTTAGATACTTTGAAAAATATTTTCATTACAGTTTTGATTCATTATACAAATTTTGAGAAATTATACCTAGATTATCTGGTGATTAGAACATCACAAATTCATTCATATTGGATCACATATTAGAGTTTGGGTAGGTGAACTCAGCTTTCTTCCATTATCTTAACACTAAAATTCAAGCAACGTTTTCTTGGCCCCAGCTCTGAATTCCACTCAATGGTAGTAAGCCTCCCTGCACAACAGACACTGCAAGCAAAAGCCCTAATTGGGTAATTGGGGAAAAGGAGTGAGCTCCATAACTATTAAAAAGTAAAATCTTCCAGTAGTGCATAAAGTAAAAATTAACTACTGCCAATGTTGTTACCCAAGGAAGACATTTTTAGTTTACTAACAGTTTACAGAGTGCTCAGGTTATCTACACTGGAACCCAAGTTTGCTCTGTTGAGACTGATAAACTGGATTCAAGAGCTCGACAAAAACCAAACATTAAATGCACAGAGGCAAATAATGCAAAGGAGAATTTACGTGAGAAATGGAATATATACAAACCTGAAAAACCACATGTCTCCTTTTGGTTCTCCTTGCATGTTGCTGACTCTGCCCTATTTTTTCTAATAGATGAGCACAAAGTCTAGAGGAGCTGAATAGAAACCTCCCAAGACAGAGACACAGCCTGGAGAACCAACTGACAAAAAGTGTGTTCGTAGTGCAGGGAACTTTTGAGAAACATGATACATGATTCATTCTCCCACATAAAGAGATTTGAACAAGTGAAGTTGGGACTGTAACAGCTCAATGTCTTTCTCCCCCATCCATCTGCTCAAAGCCTCTCTGATTGCATGTTTGTGCAATTTCATGCTGTTGGGGTCTGATTTCACTTCCTAAAAATACCTCAGCTGAAAGCTTGTTGTTAGTATCTGTGCATATTTTTTCGCACTTGTTGTAAAGCACTGTTTGTGTCCTGCCTTCTTAGACCCGATGAAAATGCTGAGTGTGAAACATCTTTAATCCCTGACCTGCTTGCTTAATTTCTCAATGCACAGTGATTTTAGGTAACTGTGGTAGGGGAGAGAAGGTATCTCCTTTTTGTCTCCTTATCATGTTGCTTTCTCCACAAAGGTTCTCCCCCGGAATGTGTTTAATACTTTGGAAAAAAATCTGAATAGTCATGGCTTGAGAATTAGAATTTTAAACCAAGCAGACTTGTGATATTAGAGCATTTCTGTTACCCTTTGCAGGTTTCAAGGCAGCTTATTCAACCTTACAGTCTCACCAGGAAGCTAATGGGAAAGCCTTACAGCAATCTTCACAGGAAAGTTTCCAAATGTCAAGTGTCACCTTTCCAGCTGTTAGATGAATGGGTTGCCCAAGGGCATTTATTTGGATGTGCAGCCCTTGTAAAATCTGGTTGCTGTGGTGCAAAATGCTGTAATTTGGCAATTTACTTCACCAGTGTTTGGAGCTGGTAGAAATTTTAGTGACTGGAGGAGTTTGTTTTTAAAGAAGTTGTTTAGAGAAGGGTAAGAGAAGGATTTTGTTACCCTACTGTTTATAGGGACAGATGTGTGCACATGTGCATGCCTTTGTGCTCATGTGTGTGCACAGGCACTCAGTTCACAGCTGAGCTGTATTCTGGAAAATTCCAAAAGCAAATGAAAAAATACTCTTGCACACCACCTTACTTTCTCTCTGCTGTGAGATTCTAAAGCAGGCAACCATCCTGTGAACTGTGTGTCTGAATCAAGTACACATTAAATTTTTAATAAATGCATTGATACTGTCTGTTTCAGTTAAGGAGTAGGTAGCCATTTCCAAAATCACCAACTAGCTCAGCACCAGGGTCTATAAATGATGCAGTCAGTCTTCATCAAAATAAAACTATTCCATAGGATTTCTCATCTAGTCCAAGACAATGTCAAAGAGTGTAACTCAAACCTACCATCCTGGCTGCTTGCAGAATGCAGTGTTTGAACAGCACGCTGCTTGTATCCCAACCTACTCCAGGCAAAAGGCTAAGCGAACAGATGGGGCTGATATGTGCCCTGAATCTCCAGTCACTGCAAGCTCTGGCATGTGGTCAAGTCAGGCGTGAGATCCAGACTCCAGGACTCTTCAGCACAAATGCCTTATGTTCAATACTGAGAGTTATTTACAGAAGCTTCTTGGCTGCTCTTATGCTGGAAACTTTCCATCATTAGTTGCCTAAATATCTCCTGCCTCTTAACATATTCCTCCCACTATATGAGGCATAGGTTCATCTCAAAAATTGTTGCTTGCAGCTGTGTCAGGTTAGTTTCCATAAACATGACCGGTCAAAGCCTAACTAAGGATAGCTGTAGTAGAACCTGTTAGGAAATACAGTCAGTCTTCTAGAACCATTCCTTGCAAATCTTTAGAGATCCAAACAGAATCAGCCCAATTCATGCAATTTTCTACTACTCATGGTTTCTCACAATTCAACCTTCATTTGTTATTCCATGAATGACATAAAAATTTCAATTACTTAATCTTAGTGATTTATTTAGTTTGGGGATTGTAAGCCTTTGCTTTTGTCCAACAGTGACTTTATGATCTTGTGCAGAGGTAATACAGACTGCTGTTCTCTTCTAGGCCTCAGTTACCATTCACTTGTTTTTGATGTGTGAATGGATTTAATAGTACAATAGTTGTATTCAGGATAACTCACAAAAGTTAAAAGGACTAACTTTTAATTTTCTATGCCTATCTCTGAGAGTAGACAGTTCCAGTATTTTCGTCTTGGATGACTGTGCCAGTCCTAATGCTTCACTCCTGCTCTATTCATGCACTTACCTGTGGGCTGTTTTCCCATATATGACAGTCAAGCTGCCATCTTCATCTCACTCAAATCCCTTTTTAAAAGTGGCTTTTTTTTTCTAAATCACAGTAAGTTTTCATTTATTTAAATCTATTTTCTTCTTTACTGTAACCTTACACTGTGGAAGTTTCTTTTATATTTTTCATAGACTGAAATGTACCTGATACATTTAGAGAATAGAGGCCTAGATCCCAACTGATATAAATTGCACTTCACTAAGACATCATTCAAGATGAATTTTGAGCACATCACAGTGTTATTTTGAACCACTATTGTATATTTTCTATTTTTTCTTTACCTATGCTGTCAGAAAATATATGGGCTTTGTCTCTGAAGAGTATAGTGTTGATTCTTCACCAAGATCGACCATTCTCATATATTCCTTGAGCATGCATTATACATTATTGAGCATGAATATACATTACTTCATAATCAATACCAGAATTGAGAGGTTCCCAGGAAGCTTGAATTTGAAGCCATTAATTACGTTGTCTGTTTCTTTTCAGAAGAACTGCAGGAAAAAGTTAATGTTCTTTTGTTTAGCTAGAACAAAGTATGAAAACTAGCAGGCAGCAATAAAGCACCATTTGCAAAAAAGGTGAATTCAAGGCAGGCTCAGGAAGCCTGGTAATTTAGTTGCTTGCTCCTGAATAAGCAATGTGTCTGTTACAGAAAGAGAAAGCCAGAAAGGAGCTGAGAAAATCTCTCTCAAAGTGGACAGAGCCCTGAGCAAACCTGCTGTAGCAAGGGTGCTGGACAAGATAGTCCCCATGTGTCCTTCCAACCACAACCATTCAGAGATTGTATGAAATAATATAAACATATTTACCACCAAGTTAATTAATGGAGAGAGGATAGCAGAAGCAAGGGAGAAAAGACATGTTTTAAGATCAGACCTCAAAATGGAGAAAGCCAGAGTAAGATGGAGGTATTCAGGAAAACTCTTCCAGGCACTTTCACTTGTGGAGCAGGCTCTCTGTGAAAAATAACAGTAATACAACTACTTGCTTTCACAGTCTGTCTTTGTTAAAGGCCAGAAAATGTAGTTAGACCATATCACTCTGGTTAGGAATTTTCTCCATCTAAAGAAAATTAATGTCAAAAATTGCATCAGATCTAACGCTGAGTTCCTGTCTCTCAGCCCTGCGCTGCAGCTCCCGTGCTTTTGCCTTCAGGCCAGTCCTTTACCCTCTTTAGGGTGAAGTAGACCCACTGCTTGCAATGTGCTGGGGATTTTTCACCACTGTGTTCCAGTCACCAAGAAATGGTCATGATTGCAAGTACCTGCAATATTGGTAGCTGAGCTGGTTGGCATCAAATTGAGAGGAAGAATAGACCACACTTTTTGTCCTCTACTTCTGAAAATCAAGAGAAGAGTTATTATAAATAAACTCTTGCCTGCAGGCTTTCTTTTCCTATTTGTTTGTGCAATGTCAGGGAAATCCTTCATTATAAAGATGATTTCACTTTCAGGAAACTATATACCATTTTTGTTTGCCAAAAATTTTGCTTTGTAGAAAACAATGCATCAAGGCTTATAAAATGTATTTATTTTATAAGCATTGTGCTGAAAGGAAAGAAGCAGCAAAAAAATAAGTGATTGGAGGAGGGAGATAAATCTCCAAAGATGCATTGCCACTGACTGCTGAACCTGTAGCTGCATCCTGCCCCTGTGTGGTTTTAGATGCTTGCTTTATTCAATTGAAACCTTTTGTATTTCTGCCCCTGCCACCTCTGCTTGGGTCACTTCATCATTAACAAATCATTAGGCAAATATTGTGGGGCCTGAGTGCATGTGGGTGGAATTCTTTGTGGTTCTGCTCTTTGGAAGGGAAGTAAGGCAGGAGAAATGGGCCCCTATGCAGTTTGGGAAGTGGCTTTAGAGTGGTTTGAATGATGGCACGCAGGAGGCAGGGCGTATTCCTACATTTCATACATGGGTTATTTTCAACCGTGTGCTTCAAAAGTCTTTCACTGCTTTGGTGCGTTTTTTTTTTTCTTTTTGTCTTGTAATAGGGTATGTTTTCTATTTTACCACAGAAAGGTTGCTAAGAATCACTTTCAAGCAGTGTTCATTTTAGGTGAGAACAACTTTTAGAGATTTAATTGTCCTGACTGAGCAAAGAAACAGTACAATGGATCTTCAGCTTCATATTCAGCACTCTCTGCCTATTTGTCTATAGCAAATTATATTTACAGTTGTACAAGCTGTGAATTGTTTGTGATCAATCTTCAGACTGAAATGTATTCACAGAGAATATTTGAATGATTCTGAATAGCAAATTATATCAAAGTAGAAAATTTGATTTATTGCTCACACGTGCGCAAAGAGTGGAGTTGACCAAACAATTTTCCTTAAGTCTTTCTTTGATGTCATTCTGTAAGAATGAAAATCAAAGTTTTTTTTTGTAAGAGTTCAATATATCAGTGTTGATTTCAGTGGATTTCCCCACTTTCAGATATGTAGGAGACAAAAGTGCCGGCATTTACAAAATGCTTTAATTTGAATTGTGTGATACAGGATTTTCTGGTTTGGCATTGCAAACAACATTTTGCAATTGAAATATTAGTTAAGAAAAAAAAAAGTTAAAAGGATGAAATCAAACTCAAAGTAATAAAAAGATAAAAGACAAAATTAATTTTTCCTCCTTTTTTTTTTTTTTTTTTTTTTTTTTTTTTTTTTTTTTTTTTTTTTTCCCAGTTAACAAAAGCTTTTGAGATGTAGAATGCCAGGCAGTTTAGATTTGGAAGAACTCAGATGCTCTTGGTGTAGAAAAATAGTCCTGTGGGGTATGACATGGAGGAAGCAGTGATCACTCAGGAAGGAAGAAATGGGGCATGTTTGGCTTTTTATCAAGTGTAACTGCACTGGTCTCCAGCTTAGAGGCCACGATACTGAAGCGAGTTTGGTCCCAAGTGTAGGGATCTTTAGAAATTAGCTTTTCTCAAAATGTCCACCATTAGGGATCCATTCAGGTTCTCATCATTCAAGCTAGGACAGTTCCACTACTTTCAGTGCTTTTAAGCCATCAGAAAATTTGGCCCCACAATGTATCCCCTTTGTCTGAAGATTTGAAAATCTGGGCGCAGAATAGTGTGAGGGGAATCCACACAATCCCAAAACAAAACAGACATGAACTCTCAGGTTTTAAATGAGCCTAGGAAACAAAAGGCACCAAAAACAGGACAAAAAACTCCTCATCCCATCTGTGCTTTTTTAGTTTTCACAGGTAGAAATTGATTAAATAAGTTCTCTAAAGAAAAAAAATAAATCAAAAAGCCCAAAAGGGCTTTGACTCAGCAATTTCTGAGTGGCTGAGGTTTTTAGTCTGCTACAGAAAGTCTTCTCTGAAATTCAAGTACTCGTTCTTTTTGCCCTGCTGAAAAAAAGTCTTCTTTTTTAAAGATAGAAGAAACTGCTGCGCTCTTAGCTGTGACTTACTAGGAACACAGACAGTGTAGGGCTTCTCTGTGTTAGAAGTTCCTGCTTTGTTTCTTTGTGATTTTATTGAGTCAACCATTTGAGTGAACAAAGACTTAAATTCTATCCACCACAACCTAATCAGGATGCTGTTCAGTATCCATACATGGAAAAAGCTTTTCTCTCTGCAATTTTTATATTATTAGATTCAACATGTACATTGAATGCTTTTCAATGACTCTTCAGAGAAAAGACTCTCTCAAATGAAAACAATAGTGACTGTGGTGGCACGGCCATAATGTGTATTATGTTTTTGATGGCAATCAGACACTAACTTTTTCAGTCTTGAAGTATATTCATACTACTAGAATTAAATATAGACCCAAAATTAGTGTTGTATAGATATGCCATTGTATAGGCTGTATAGAAATCTTTCAAAGTGGGGGAAAAATGTTCAGAGGTTCAGAATACATAGAGTTAGGGCTGAGTGATCCTCCACATGATGCTTTCCCCTCATTTTTCTATACTTTTTCTGGATTGGCACCTGAGAAGAGAAATAGAAAGGGTCTGTCTGCATACCCTGTTTTTTTTTTCAATCTGACTGCTGTAGGGAATAGAGATGGCTCTTCAGAAAGGCTGAACAAATGTTTGGACTTAACCAGGCTTATCTGTACAGGATGTAAAGTAACATTTTCTTCATTAGTTTTGTTACTGTCAGTGTTATTTCCAGCATAGCATAGTATTTCAGTATTTCAGCATGACCACTGTTTGGGCTGAAGATGTTACATAGGTGAGTGTTTGCATGTTTTGCTGATTTTCAAGTCTGAACACAAAATAGAGTATTTGAACTTTCGGTTATTATGTATTAATTATCCCCTTAATAGGATTAATAATAAATTGTATAAAAATAGATGAGAAAAAAAAATCAGTGGTTTAGTGTTGTTTGTTTGTATTTTTTTTTACAGTCCTTATATGGTGTTGCAGTTTCTACAGTTCCAGAACTACCTCTCTTCTATACTCCTATAGATTTAGTGGATATCAGTGTAGAAATGGCTGGACTGAAGTTTCCAAATCCTTTTGGCATTGCCAGTGCAACCCCTGCTACTAGTTCTTCAATGATTCGAAGAGCATTTGAAGCTGGATGGGGCTTTGCTGTCACTAAAACATTCTCCCTGGATAAGGTGAGGAAATATTTTAATATTTTTTAATATTTTATGTGTATTTTTCATGTATCTTTGTATAATTGAAAAATCTGAATCTTTGGGGATTGGTTCTGTTATATCCAACTAGCATGAAGTAGCAGGGAATGGTTGTGATGCATTGTGTAGTCCAACTAGTCTGTAAGCTTTCCACAGTGCAGTGACACAATTTCTGGTTCTGTTTGTTGTTACATTCTTCCCTTATATTGCCCCAACTTCTAATATTAGTCAACAATTAAGTGATTTTTTTTTTTAAATACTGCAGTGAAAATGTTTTCTGTGAAGGATCAGGATGTGGAGGGAATGAGTAACAGCTTTGTCACATAACCCATGAAAGGCGGATTCTGAGCCAGAGGCTGCCAAGATAAGCCATTGAACTGGAGGTGCAGCTGCAATGTGATCATGTGGCTGCAAGGGGGAGGCTGGGTGGGAAGTGGAAGAGAAAGATGAAGGCAGCATAAAACCAAGCCTATGAAGAGAAAAACACAGTGACATCAACCTTCAGTAACATGTAGTGGAGGAGGAAGGAGTTAGAATTAAGTCTTTAAGCCCATGGCTCAGTGTGGCACCTTATAAAAAGCATTTTGTGTAGTTTTAAGTGTGTAATTGCTTGTTTGAATTTGGGAGAATTGCAACTTCTTGCTACATTCAAAATGGTGAAGTGAGACTGAGCAAGAAGTTTAGAGTGAAAGAAAATAACTTTGATAAACAGAGAGAAAAGAAACAGGTTTTGAGCTGAGTTGTAGATATGGTTTTATTTGTGGAGAGGGGAAGAAAAGGTGAATCCTTGAACATAGGCCTCAGTAACAGTGTGAGTAATAGCCATGTATTGTTAACCAGTAGCCTAGAGTGGTGTGGGCTGAAGAAATCTTTTGAATTTAATTTGGATACAAGGGCTTTTTACTCTTGGTTCAGAGGGGGGATATACAAGGCTACTGATAGATGGAGCAGAACAGAGAAGGTGGATTTGTTCCTCTTCCACTTTTCCATGGGTAAGTAAGTACTATAGGTAAATTAACTATAGTGGGTGCCTCTCTAGTATGGGGAAGGTCAAGAACAAAATGCTGTATTGCTGCAGAATACTTTAAAATAAGTCAGGCTTGATTCTGCTGTCTCTTACACCTGAGGTAGTCCTGGGGAAGTAAGTGTTCATCTGGATTGCAGTGAAGATTCCAATCTACTTCCCAGGGCTTCTTATTAAAATACTTTTTAGGACATAAATGTTATTCAAGTATGTTTACAACTGACTTACATGTATAACATACCATCGGCTGTAATTATTCAGTGCCTATGCTACAGCCAACTCATAGCAAGTACTGAGACTTATTTTTTTATCAGTTTTATTGCTGGTGTGCTGGCAGTCCTGCCAGACTGCACGTTGATTACTGTGCATCTCGAGAGCTAAACAGACACAGGCTGAGTTCCAGCTTGGGTGGGAGTTCAGGAGGAAAGACATGCATGTTGTAGGAAGTGATGTTGGTGCTATACTAAGCAGCAGACTCTGAGTCATTTCTGAAATGGCGCCTGCAAAGTGTTCCACTGGATGCCGTGCTCTGCAGGTGTGACTCAGATGAAGATCTTTCAAGTTTTTTTTAAAGAATTTGTTGCAATAAGTTATTGCAGGTATTATTTAAGTTAGTAAGTTCAGAAAAGTGTTATCTAGTGAATTCTAGTTCAGTGATTGTTATTTCTGCTTAAGCTTCCTTCTAATATTATGATATTGAATCGTGTTGTGTCTAGTAGAACTGTGTCCCACCCAAGTGCTGCCTAGTTTTTATTAATGTGTTCTTCATAGTACAGCACTTCCTACAGGTGCTGCAGAAGTGAAATTGCTCTTATTTATCAGAGCAATGTGGTACTTAGTACTTCAGAAATAACTATTTCAAATGGGAAGAAAAGCTAAATAGGTTACCGCAGTTCTTATATAAATGGAGTATACAGAAAGACTGTTCTTGTTGACTTAATGCTAGAACAAGTTGTTGGTAGAGAGTTTGAAATATTATAGATTGCCATAATGTGCTGACTTTTTTTTGCTAATTTGGCTTCTGATTATGTAGACATAAATCTTGTGCAGCTTTTAGCAGGGAGAAGAATGCTCTCTTGGGCTGTGGTACCAACGGTGGGGATTTCAGACTGAGCTGTCCTGCACTGTCAGATAGTCAAAGCAAACTACACAGCAGGATCAAGAGCAAAGATTTCCTGATCTAAGCCTGTGGAGTTGGTGGGAGGAGGGGGAGCAGCTCCCCAGACAGTACAGTTCCCAAGAGTGGAAGAGCTTCTGAGAAGGGAGAGAGCTTGTTAGACACAGATTTTGGCAGCTGAAGCTTTTCCACTGCAGCCTTGGTTGTATGTGGTGCAAGCAGGATTCTGTGTTCTTCCCTCATCTCCTTATTTTATCTTTCCTGGTAAGGCTTACTGTTGGGCTTCCTTCTGATTTGTCAAGCATAACCTGCCTCTGTGGCCACGGGGAACTTAGCAGCAGGAAAAATTCTCCCTTTTCCAGAACCAATTGGTTCTGAATTTGCCACTGCGTTTGACACTGATAGGGGAACCCATGTTTACCATGGGCATCCTTTGGCACTTCAGGGAAAGAGACTGATGTAGGCTAAGTAGGAGTGACATATAGGTGGTGAAAAGCATATACAGCCCATTCACAAATTTCCATGCATTAACTACGGTGTGATGGAATAAGGTCAGAGAAAAGCATGATAAATCTTGGAAGAAGGGGATCCAAGGATAGAGATAAAAAGGACTCGGGCTGAAGAGCTGTGATTCTCATAAGACACAGGATTTATTTTGTATGAGCTACTTCTCCTTTTCTCTCCTCCATCATCTAGCACAGAATGCTCTTCTAAAACGCAAGGCCAGGGATCCCTGCAGCCCACGTACTGCCTTCTGCAGAGGAGCTGTTGGGTAGCAGTGGTGAAGTTCAGCCTCTGGGCTGTAATTTACTCCCCTAGTCTTTCTAATCCTCGTGTATCTTGGCCTCACCTTGAAAGCTTCACATTCTGCCCAGAGGGAGTTAGCACACAGCGCACTGTTTGGTGCCGTGCTCGCTCCCTTTTTAAACACCCACGTACCTTGCTCATAATTGCCTTCATGACAACCTTTGTAGAATTTTCTGTTTGTAGGGTAAGCATTTCAACTGGGAGTGATTCAGCAAAGTTTGTTCTTGCATACTACTGTACTATTGTTGAAACCTACGAAAAAGCTAACGTAAGAAATAGCTGAAATTCCTTCAGGGTATTTATACTTCAAAATATACTGCACTCTACATACTTTAGAAGATTATGGACATTATAGTGCAGTGCAAATATTAATCACAGGGGATTGTACCTGTATGTGTCTGATGGTATCTGGGAGGGAGATAGTAACTCGCACAATTTTATTTATTAAATTAAACATCTTTGCACAGCTGCTTTAGTATCAACTAGATTTGATTTCCTCCGAAAAGGGAATAACTGCTTTTGAAATGGACAATCACTAGGAAAGACAAATGGTAGCAGAATAGAAGTGTCTCTTCACACACTTTTTCTGCATTCATGTCTTCCCTTTTTGACTGCAGGATCAATAGCTCATTGCTCTGTTGGTTCAAATAGTATTTCTGTCTTGTTCAGATAACTGTATGCAGCAACGTTATTTGTGAATTCTGTTTGTAAGGTACTGAAGGGAAATGGAGGAGCTGCATATCATGTAGTCCACAATAAATGGATACCAATTATTACCTCTTTTAGAGCTTAGATGAACAGAAAACTACATGCAGAATGACACATACTGCATTAATTAGACACATAACTGTGAGTGGGAGGGTTTTGGGAGAAGTGTTATATTGAGCTGGTTTATTTACTAAGAATTTGTTAGTGAATATTGTCTATAACACAAAATTTCTATTAAAACCTGTAATCAGAAAGTTTTTATAAACATAGTATCAAAATTAGTTAAAGGTTATATGAGGTGTGTACATTCCTATGCCATATTCACTACCACAATGAGGATTTCATAACAGAAATTAGGGTTTATGAGCTGAATTCAGGCTTTGTTGTTCTCTCACTGCATTGTACGGGCTGTTTAGAAAGATGAAAGAACAACTGGGTTAGCAGAAATGTTTGCTTTGATTTTTAGATGCTTCCTTCACTTCTAAAATTTAATTCTGATTAATCAGATACATCTGTCTTTATTTTGTTGTGACATGCATTGATTTGTGATGCTGTCGCTTTCAATAATGCAGAATCAGTTGCCTTTATTATGAGAACCAGCAGAAATCAACATGCAGACTAACTTCATTTTTAATCTTTAATTTTCTTCATTACATATGGAGCAAGCTGCATGGATGATTTTAAAAACAAAGCTACAATTAAAATGAGATTAAATCTGAACTAAACCATAGAGGAGGAAACTTTCTAGCCATAATATATGTTTATGCAGTTTACAGATGTAGATTTTACAATACATTTTCAGAACCATTTCTAAATAAAAATGATTGCTGACAGAGAATTAATTAACTTGCCCAGCATCTATTGCATTTCTATGTGCTGTTTTTGAAATATACATATTCAGGCTCCAGCTAGTTCTCTCTCTGTACATTTGCACTGTGTGCACCTCGTTTCATAATTGAAGGTGGTAAAAAATCATAGTACAATGATGCATTGTTTTCCATAACATTAGTATTTCACAGAAGTGAATCTGTATTACAAAATGTATATTTTTGTATGATATTACAGCATAGTAATTTAGATTAAACTAGTTATAATTTATGGTGCCAAGCCAAAAAGCTATTTAAGATGCATTAAAATGCAGAACCATGACATTTGAAATTCTGATGTTCTTAATATGACAAAGGTTATTCTATGGAGTTTTGCTATAATATGAAATATTAATATTTCACAATACAGTTTTGATGAAGTACAATTTGCCTAGCTTGCATATGATAAAGAAATTAAATGCTTACCAAGGGAGTTCAGTGAGAATTAGAGCCCCGCCTG